GGGTATATCAAACCCTATGCTACTAGGTCTGTTGCATTTCTAGTTTGTTCCAGTGAACAATTTCTGATTTTTTAACCAGCACCAAATTGTTTTGATGATTATTGCTTTGTATTATAGTGTAAGATATGGTACTGCTAAGTCCCCTTCCTACTTAAAAAAATATTTTCTTCTTTTGAGATTATTGACCTTTTATTCTGCTGGATGAATTTTATCATTATTCTTCTAGAGCCATGAAGTGACTCTTTTGTATTTTTTTGTATAGAACCACATATGTAAATTTATTAAGGTAGTATTGTCATTTTAATTTACAATGACACAGCTGAACTATGAATAAGTAATTCTTTATAATGATTAAAATCTATTTTTTATTTCTGTAAACAATGTTTTGTAGTTATATCCATATAATTCCTGGGTATATATTGATAGGTGGACTCCCTTATACATTTCATAGATATTTTGATGGAATTTAGCTTTCTATTTCTTCCTTTTGGGGTTCTAATTTAATATATGCTTTAAGGCTCATGACTTATATGAGTTTATTTTATAACCCATTACTTTGCTGACATTCTTGTTTCAATAAAATTTCAGTTGACTCTGTAGCATTCTCTGTTTAGATCATTACATCATGTACAAAAATAATAATTTTATTTTTTCTTTGTCTGTGGTTATTCCTTCAACTTAATTTTCTTGTATTTTATAGCTAGCATTTCCAAAATAATTTCCAAATAATAGTGGTGATAATGAATATCTTTGTTTTATCCCTGATTTATTGGGAAGACTTCTAGTGTTTTTCTATTACATATAGTGTTGGCTCTTGATTTTAGATGTTATTTAACAAATTAAGGAAAAGTCCATTTTTTCCTATGCTTTTTAGGATTTTAAACAGAAGTATGTCCAATTTTTGTCAAAAGTATTTTCCTGCACTGGCCCTGAAGTCAGGAGGACCTGAGTTCAAATCTGGCCTCAGACCAAACACTTGACACTTGACTGTGTAACCCTAGGCAAGTCACTTAACCCCAATTGCCTCAAACAAACAAACAAAAAAAAAACCTGAACATCAATGAGGTCAAAAAAAGTATTTTCCTCATTTATTGATATAATTATGTTCTTTAATTTTTTTCTTATTAATGTGGTCTGTTATATTTATAATTTTTCTAAAATTAAACTAGCTCTACATTTATGCTATGAATTCAAACTGAGCATGGTATATAATCTTTTAAATATGTTTCTAAGGCCTCTTTGCTAATTTTTTATTTAATATCTTACATCAACATTCATTAGTCAGGCAGGTGACATGGGCTTGAACTAGAGTAGTAGTTGTATGAGTAGAAAGGAGACATATATGAGAGATGCTGTGGTTAGAAATGACAGAATTTGATGATGTATTAGATATGTGAGGTGAGTCGGAATGATTCTAGGATTACACCAAGGCTTTGTGTGTGGGTGGCTGGGAGTATGGTAGGGCTCTTGAGAGTAATGAGAAAATTGAGAAGAGGGTTTGGAGGAAAAGATAATAAATTCTCTTTTGGACATGTTGACTTTGAGATGCCTATAGCACATCTAGTTAGAGAGATATAAAAGGTACCTGGCAATATGGGACTGGAGCTTAGGAGACAGATCAGGGCTGGATATATAGATCTGGGAATCATGTAAAAAGATGATAGTTGAACCTATGGGTTGATGAAATCATCAAGTGAGATAGACTAGAGGGAAAAGAAGGCTTAGGACAGAACCTTGAGGGACTCTTGCAGTGTGTGGGAATTATCTGGATGAAGATACAGCAAAGTAGACTGAATGGTCAGACATGTAGGAGGAGGAGCAGCGGAGAGCAGTGTCACAAAACCTGGAGCAGATCCAAGAAGAGCTGCCAATCAACAATGTCAAAGGCTTACAGATAGGTCAGGAAAGATAAGAATTGATAAAAGGCCATTAGATTGGCAATTAAGAGCTAATTGGTAACTTTGGAAAGAACTGTGTCAGTTGATTGATCAGGGTAAAAGCCAGATTGCAGAGGGTTTCGAAGAGAATGAGAGGAGGTAGGGACACCTTTTGTAGATGGCTTCCTCAAGGAGTTTATCCAAGAAGTGTGGGGAGAGGTATAGGACAATGAACGCAGGGATGGTAGGATCAAGTGAAAGATTTTTAAGCATGAAAGAGACATGAACATATTTGTAGGCAGCAGGGAAGGAGCACTGTGGGTTTTTGAGACTCCTGGAGCTTACACATCCATTCACTTTGAACTTCCTCCTCCTCCTTTTCCCCTCCCATCACCACCTCCACACGTGTACAAAGAATGTTCCAAGTGACCCTGGAACTGAATGTTAACAGGCTTCTGGCTTGTTTACCTGTGTCTGTGAGAGATTTCCTGGAAGAACCCTTTTCGTTAGTGCCTGAAGGCTTCTAGATATATTTTTGTGCAGTTCTGGGCTAGAAGAAGGCATTTTCTATTGTTTCTCCTTGGATTTTCATCTTTGCTGGAATGCCCTTGGGGAATCTGGGCTTCTCTGTGACCTTTCACAGCATCATCTTTATCAGAAATCAACCACAATTTATTTAGACATTCCCCAATTAATGGGCCATTTATTTTGGCACATTTTTGTGACACCCTTGTGGTTGAGTTCTTCAGGATGTCACCTATGGAAGACTTTTTGATTCCCCTGTTGTATCTTAGCCATTTCATTGACTGTATCCTGGAAAGGGGTGGTGGGGGGGGGGACTTGTGACATTAAATTAATCCAGAGACATTTATCTATTTTCAACCAATCAGTCAACATTAATTAAGTGCCTACTAAGTGCTAGGCACTGTGCTATGTGCTAGGGATACAAAAAGAGGCAAAAGACCATTCTTGCCTTCAAGGAGTTTATAATCTATTGGGGGAGACAATGTGCAAAACAAACATATACAAATATTTTCAGCCTATAGTGCTGCTCAGTGAAGTGAAATCTGTTTTTAACAGAAGTGTTTCTGTAACATTTTAACTTGTTTATCACATACTCCGAGAGCATATATTTATCTTTTGGTCCTTTTGGGCGAGGAAGTATTGATCTTTCTATAGCTGTTGAGATGATGGGACCTGTACTTTGTTAACTTTGTATGAAGTTTTATTTGTATACTTTCTCAACTGAAACTTCACCAAAACAATAGTAATGGTAATTGACTGGAGCTGTTATTTCATTGGTGCAGGGAATTGTCAGTGAGGTAACTCTCTGTACCAATGCAAACCAATTACTACTTGGTACCTCATGGTGTTAGAGAATTGCCTGAAGGCAAAGACATGTTAAGTGACTTGTGCAAGCTCGCACAGCTAACATGCTGTGTTGTCAGGGTTGAAACTTGAGCCTACATTCTCCTAATTCTACTGGCTCTTTATCTACTATGCTATGCTGTCTCTCTTATTATTTTGTTTTTTCCCAGTCTTCTTATATTCTATTTGATGGAGTTTAGATAGTCAACCCTTCCCCAAGTTTCCCTTTTAATTCTAGTGCTTTCCCTTTGTTGATATTTCCTATTTTTCTTGTATGCAGCTTGTTTGCACATAGTTGTTTGCTTGTCACCTCTCCCATTAGATGCAAGATTCTTGAGAGTAGGAACTGTCTTTTTCCTTTCTTTGTATCTCCATTGCTTAGTATAGTGCCTAGCACACAGTAGGCTTTTTAAAATGCCCACTGACAGGCTGACTAAATCAAGGGACAAGCTGGTATCCTACTATTATTCTTTTATGTATTTAATATTCATTAGATTATGGCATAGGTAGACAAAATGACTGTCTTTTGCAATTGAGTAGAAGTGTTGGGATGTGGTTCATCTTTTTTTGGTTCATAATTATTCTTAAGCAAAGCTAAGAAAAGGTCTTATTTAATGTGTCCTCTGATCAAAAGGACTGAAAATCAATTATGACCAAGTATGTTGGGTCAAGACTCACTAGTGGAAAAAGGAGGAAAGTATTGTGATCCCTTGCCTTCTTTACTGACTCTGGACCTCTTGGTAATACCCCTCCAGGGCCCTTTGTTGTAGGTACGCTATGGTCCTATGCCTCTTCTCTGGTTTCCTCTGAGATCACTTAGTATTTGGTAACACCATAGAATCCATGGGAAATATGCATCTTAGTTGGCCCAACCTTAATTTAACTTACAAACTTGCCAATTTCATGTTAGCAAATCAGTTTGGATCTAGGAGTAATGGGCCGTATCATGCCTCAAAGCAGAAGCAATGACTTATGTTGATGTCACCCACTGGCTTTTTATGGAAATTATTAATAAATCAGTAAATCTGTCTCCAGTGATGTTGTTGTGTTTATAAATATTTAATTTACCTTCAGGTGCCCACATTTTCTCTGTCTTTGCTGTTAACTCTGCTGACTTTGCTTTTCTTTCTGAAGTGTTGGCTCGATGTATTAAGTTATCAGGGGGTACCTTCTGTGATGGAAAAGGTTAACAGATTGCCTTCTCTTTTTTGGGGGTGTGTGGTTTTATCTTTTCTTTCTTTCTTCTTCTTTTTTTGCATCTCCTTGTGTGATTTGGCTCAGGGGTTTTGGAAACTCTAGCTGAGAGAACATGGCATCTCTTGCAATGATGAAAGATTAGTCCACCCTTGGAGAAAGACAGACTAAAACTTGGCAGTTACAACCTTGCATAAATGAAGACCTGTTGATAGCATTTTTCCCTCCCCCAAATTAATAACATTTAGGATCCAAGATCATTTCCTGTGTTTTCTTTTCATGAAGAAACTTTTTTTTTTTTTAACATTGACACGGACTTCTCTTCAGAAGCCAAGAACTTTGATTATTTTTATGTAGCAGGTTGCAAAAAGATGGTTACAACAACAACAACAAAAATAAACCCCCTGGAAATGGAGAATAGTATTGAGCAGTGAAGACTGGAGTCCCATTCTTAGAGGGTGGAGAATATTTGAGGGAGTTAAATATTTAAATATGTTAAATATTTTTATCCTAGATCCAATGTGAGCTGATTATTTATTCCATGTTCTGTTTCTTTTTCAGGAAATTGCAGCTTATTTAATAACGTTTGAAAAACATGAAGAATGGCTAACCACCTCCCCTAAGACAAGGTAACATCCCCAATATTGCTGCTTTTTCAGATATGTACAGTAAACAGATTTATTTCCACTGATTACCTGACTTCACCGATCCATCCATTGGTGGCCAATTGAAAAGCCTATGTCATGCTTGATAGCTTGTGACACTGAGGTCTCCTTAATTGACTTAATGAGTATTATATTGAATAGAATCAGATGGATTAAAAATAGAGTGCCAATGATCATACTGAGTTGAAAGCTTTAACCTGATGGGTTCCCATTTAATCATTTCATTAAACCCTTTCCCTTGGTTGGATTGGTATTGTTTGGATGGTGGGGAAGGGGGGAAGTTGGAGACATTTATCTCTATGGGACTCCCACCTGTCTCCAAAGTGTTTTTCAGCTTTCTCTGTCTCTCTGTCTCTCTGTCTCTCTGTCTCTCTCTCTCTCTGTTTCTCTCTGTCTTTGTCTCTGTCTCTGTCTCTTTCTCTCTCTGTCTCTGTCTCTCCCTCTCTCTCTCTTTTTACCTGTCTTTCTTCTTCCTTTTCTCCCTCCCTCCCTCTGTCCTTTCTTTCTTTTTCTTTCTTTCCTTCTTCCCTCTCTCCTTCCTTCATTTCTCTCTTTCTTTCCTCCTTCCTTTTTTCTTCTTTCCTTTCTTTTTCTTCCTTCCTTTCTTTTTCTTCCTTCCTTATTTTTTCTTTCTTTCATCCCTCCTCCTTTCTTTCTTTCTCTCTCTTTCTTCCCTTCCTCCTTCCCTCCTTTCTTCCTTTCTTTTTTCCCTCCTTTCTTTTCTCCTTTCCTTTCCTTTCCTTTCTTTCCTTTCCTTTCCTTTCCTTTCTTTCCTTTCCTTTCCTTTCCTTTCCTTTCCTTTCCTTTCCTTTCCTTTCCTTTCCTTTCCTTTCCTTTCCTTTCCTTTCCTTTCCTTTCCTTTTTCCTTTCCTTTCCTTTTTCCTTTCCTTTCCTTTTTCCTTTCCTTTCCTTTTTCCTTTCCTTTCCTTTTTCCTTTCCTTTCCTTTTTCCTTTCCTTTTTCCTTTCCTTCCTTCCACTGCTAACTAAGTTGGTCACCTGTGTCTCCACTTGTTTTGGAGGCTGAGGGTTGCTTTTTTCATGTTAGGGGTTTCAGTAATTGGTAGCAAGAGATTCCCCAAAGCAGACTTAATGGACAGGGCTATAGTTTATTATGCAGTAAGTGTCCTCAATAACTGCCATAAATGTTTAACTTCTGTAGTCACTTGGGGACAGATGTAGTCGGTTAAAAGATTGCCGACCTGTTTCCCTTAGAGTGTCGTTGACATTTTTATTATGTTAAGAAAGCTGAAGTACATTTGTTTTAAGGGGGCACCCCTCCCCCATGCCTGACCTGATGCTTTTATTTTGGGTCTGTGACATTTGGAGGGCATTTGAAATAGGTGGCTACACCACTTTCAACTGTAGCAAATTTTCTATTAGTAATGACAGGCTTGTGTGTATATTAGCTTAAGGATGTTGGCGTGATTGTGACTTAAAGGGTGTCTGTGTCTTGAATTTGACTTCAGGAGGCTGTATCCCTAGCCTCTCTTCCTTCCGAAGGAGACACCAAAGTGTCTGTCAGTGTTCATTCTTCTGTGCGCTTCTGCGCATTTTTGTGTTTTTGTTGTTGTTTCAGTCTTTTCTGTTAGGTCTGACTCTGTGACCCCATTTGCAGTTTTCTTCACAAAGATACTGGAGTGGTTTGCCATTTCCTTCTCCAGATCATTTTACACGTGAGGAAACTGAGACAAACAGGGTGAAGTGACTTGCCCAGGGTCACACAGCTAGGAAGAGTCTGAGACCAGATTTGTTTTTGCTTTTTTTAAATTTTTTTTGAGACCAGATTTGAACCCAGAAAGATGGGTCTTCCTCACTCCAGGGCTGGCACTCTATCCGCTGTATCATCTAGTTGCCCTATTTTTGTGTTAGGAGACCTTTTACCCAGTTTATCCATGGCCTTGGTAGGGCCTTCTCTCTTTGGGAAGGTGGTTGAAGGGAACAGGGCTCCATTGAGGTTGGCATTCAAGTTCTTAGGTCAAATAAATAAAGGTTAATGAATATACTCCTAGGATTTAAATATGGAAAAGACCATAGAGGCCACCTGTTCCAACCTTCTCATCATACACTTGAGGAAAATGAATTCCAGAATGGGGAGCTCAAGTCAATAAATTCATTTGAGTGCTTGTCCTCTGGTGGAGGGGGACAATGAGATTTGGATTCCACTAGATTTGGATTCAAAGGATCGGGGTTCAGATCTCAGCCTTGCCCCTTCCTATCCATGTAATTATTGGAAAATCACTTTCCCTTTCTGACCTCAGTGAGGGAGTAGGAATTGATGAACTTAAAGGTCTCTTCTGGCTCCAGATCTACCAAATAATGACTACATGGCTTATATGGGATCTTCATTCTCTACATCCTCTGATACAATTCACCCAACATTTATTATTATTATTATTATTATTATTATTATTATTATGGTCAAGGTACTGTGCTAAGCATGACAGAAAAAAATGACAAAGACGAAAATAGAATAGTCTTTAGTAAGGAGAAGAACTGGACTTTTGAACCTACTAAAGGTCCAAAGACCCAACTGTGGTTCAGGAGAAATAGTACTACCTCTGGATTAGAAGGATCTGAGTTCAAATTCTACCTCTAATACCGACCACTTGTGTGACTTTGGACAAATCACCCCATCTTCCTGTCCTTTGATTTTCTCATCTGTAGTATCAAGTTGTCCAAGTCAGCCTCTGAGGCACCTTCTGTTCTGTTTGTGATCCTTTGACTCCCAATCAGGTATTTTTCAAACAATCAACCAGCAACAGTTCTCAAGTGCTTTCTCTGTGCTAGGCACTCTGCTCGGTGATAGGGACACAAAGAAAAAAGCAAAATAATCTCTGACCTCGAGAAGCTTCCAATCTCATAGAATTCTTTATACCAGGGGCAGTGGTCTTACTGCTTAGGAAGCCTGAACCAGATTAAAATATAATTGGGAAATGTTTAATAAAATAAATAAAAATACAGTCAAACAGAGATCATGTTAATGTGTGGTTTCCTAAGTCATTTACTAGCGGTGTGGTCCAGGGCAAGTCATAACCTCCCTCAGCTTTAGTTTTCTCATCTATAAAATGGGGATAATAATAGCACTTACCTCCCAAGGTTGTTGTGAAGATAAATTGAGATAATATTTCTAAAGTTCTTTGCAAACTTTAAATCACTATAGAAATTCTAGTTGTTTATTATTGTTGTTGTTATTATTATTATTATTATTATTAGTAGTAGTAGTAGTAGTAGTAGTCGTAGTAGTAGTAGTCACTCCTGGTTACATCAACCAGAGTTTGCCTTTTCCTGGGCCATAGCCAAAGACAGGATCACTATTATAGGACCCAGACACTGCCTGACTGCAGAATAACTGGTCCATCATGTTACAGCTGGAGACGGGGCCAAATATTTCAGGACATAAGGCTGTAGGATCCCCAAAAGAGGAGTGAATGCCACTAGTGGTCACACAGGATTTTTGTTTGCCCTTTTGGTGGTGGGACTGGGGTACACCAGGCATTCTGTTAAATGCAATGTAGCATAGAGCACCCCATTGCTGGAGGCATCAGTCATGGAGGGGGTTTATGGAAAGTGTTCCCGGTTTGTTTTTATTTTGCTAGAGGCAGTGGGGTGAAGGTGGTAAGTAAGCATTTGCCTATTAGTATTGCAACACTGTATTTACACCCGAAAGCTCTATGTCCCAAGAGAAGGAAAAGTTGCCTGGCTGTTCAAGGACCTTCCTAAATTAGTTGTTGAGTTGAGTTTGGTAGACATTCCCCTCTCCTCTCCAAATATTGAAATTAATTGGTGCAGTCAACTGCTGAGTTCATACAAACAGGCCTCCTGGTATTTAGGAATTAATGACACCAATACCCTTTGGGACAGAAATGTTCCGCAACCTCTGTTTGCTTCTCTTGCTGCCACCACTCCTGCTAATTTCATTTTAGAAAATTAATAAAAATGAATTGCACCGCTGACATTTATAGAGTTTCCTAATAAAATGATGCATTGTTCATGCAGAGGAATCCCTATTAAATTAACTGTTTTAGTCGGCTCACATATAGATGTTGCTATAGGAAGGAGCCGCAGAATAGACTCATGGCTCATGTTGGGGACTTCCAAGTTCCTGGAGGTTATAAATAGGGCCCTTGCTGAGTTGCTGGCCTAATTACTCTGATGGCTTCACCTTTTTAATACAGGAATGAGGAGTGTTATGGATAAAGCTGGCCTCGGGACATGGAGGTCTGGATTCAAATCTTACTTCTGACACATACTGGTTGTGTGATTCGTGGCAAATCATTTCATCTCTCTTATATAAGGATGAAAAAAAATGACATAGTCTTTGTTCGCCTGAGGAACTTATAGTTGGTTAGGAAGAGCTATGACACGTCTACAAATAAGTACGATACAAAGAAAAAAATGATAGGGTCAAAGGAGAGATCCAGACATTGCTCCAGAGAAATCTGTGGAAGGACAGGTCATTCTAAGCTGGAATCAGGCCAATGTATCCATTTCTATTTCTAGGCAGGACCATGCAATGCATACAGGTTATAATAATTGGCATATAATAACAGGTATATGAGAATCCTGTTATAGTAATTGGCAAAACACTTTGCATTTAGCCCTTCTTTAAACTTCATAACAGCCTCATGAAGTAGCACAACTATTATGAACTCCATTTTACGGATGAAGAAACTGAGGTCAGTTGGGCAATGTTCAATGAATTGCCCAAGGTCATACAGCTAGCATCCAAGGCAGGATTTGAACCCAAGTCTTTGCCTTACTACAAGTTGGCATTCTTTACACTCTGCCGTGTTAACATCTGTTAGGTAGTGGATTATGTGTGAGAGCCCCATGAGAAAGGTAACTGTCTTTCTAATGGGACATATATGTATGATGAGATAGAATGATCAATATGTATGTGTACATGTATGCATGTGTGTACATACATACATACATATGTATATATATATATATATATATATAT